CGCCCCTACTTTATCGCGTTAGAGTGCTTGTCTTACGTTTCGGTACTTTGATGCCTTTGATGCGTCGAGGACAATTTCGAATTCGTTAAATATCGCTTGCCTGTTGGAAATATAACGAAATTTCCGAATATTTTGGTACCCGTGGCACAATCGACCATGTGGAAATAGTATTATTCGACTAGACTAGAAATACTCGCGTGTTTCACGAAGCAAGCGATCATTTCAAGAATGTGATAATTGCGGGAGCTGTGATTCGCTTTAATCACTTTTCGCACCTATGCGAGCAATTTCAATAAGCTTCGGATCAGTTATCTTTCGAAGTCATTTTCTACCTTATCGTTGGATTCAAATTTTCGAGTTCCATAAATTCCATGCGAATCATACGAAGATGGTGAAATGTCGATATATAACGCGAATGTACGTTGGATAGAATGTTGGAAATTTTAGGAGGTAATCGAAGTTATAACTTTCTCCTTTAGATGCATACATATTTTCGATTAGGTATTAGAAAGAGCTTTGGAAAAGTCCGAATTAGAGAGAGCCTAAGAAGGAGGCCGCGTGTTCGCGGGTTAAGAACATGGACAAAGACAAAAGCAGCTTGACGTTTCTCAAATGCAACGTAAGTACATTGTATACGATTAAATTGCCACGATCTGCGCGTACGCGTATATTGTAAGAAGAGATACAACGTTGTCGAGAGTCGAGGAACGAACACGGAATACGAGTATAGGTCGTAGTTAGTTTGAAAATGTTCGCGTTGCCACGGGAATCGGTGCTGTACGCTTTTCTGCACCTTAAAAGTAGCAAAGTTCTCGGTCTTTCCCGGCTTCCTGTACAATCACTGAATATGGATGAACCATTCGTGTATTCGTCGCCGGTTCAGCGAGAGCTTTAAGGCACTCTCCGCAGTAGCGGAACTCTATCCAAGCTTTTGCGACAAGACAATTGCATCTTCCGTCTTTCTTCTCCGCGATCCTTTTCATACTTTCTTCCTTGCTCCTCGTCCGTTTCTTCGCCGATCCTTCGTTCCGCTGTTTTCCTCGGTTTCTACTTGAAAAGAAAAACTCCTGATCCTCTTTCAATATACGAATACGATATTAACGGCGTCGCCGCTATATTTTTTCTCCTTCATTGCTAGTTTATTCAAAGACGTTTCGCCAATACGATAAAGGAGATAATTTTAATCGACGAATAGGATTATTATTTCTTACTAACAAACGAACGAACGAATGAAAATCAACGAGTTCGGTACCCTGATTTGATTTCTTTGCATTTAAATCGCTCGCGTACCCTGCATTTAACGTTCTACCTGTTCAACGAAGAAGGAGAAGCTTCTTGTTGAAAATAAAGGCTTTATTCGCCGATTACCTGGCACGAAGTAGTACCGAACTTTGTATTACGCTCCTGCAGCAAATATATGTCTATATCAAGATAGAATCGAATTCGTACAGTTACTTGTTTTCAGTTTTTTTTTCTTCAAAAATATCGTAGCAAATCGTTTCGTACCTAAGACCGGGAATAATTGCAGTTCTTTTTTCGCGATTTTGTACGAGGTTTTTACGAAACCTGAGGGTAACGAATCAATTACGTTCGTTGAGCAGGATGGATGGTTCACGCGCTGATCGACAGTCGTGGCAAGAATCAATGTACGCTACATGTCGGCCGAATTATTGAAACCTATTATCACATTTTTCGCGTGAAATGATCGACTTCGAAAGATAGAAACGTGAGAGCACCTTGCACGTAAATTGCGCGTTAAATAATGAAGAACGATCGACGTGAGTTACCACCTGACCACGAAGAAAGTGAAGTTAGTTTGAAAATGTTCGCGTTGCCACGGGAATCGGTGCTGTACGCTTTTCTGCACCTTAAAAGTAGCAAAGTTCTCGGTCTTTCCCGGCTTCCTGTACAATCACTGAATATGGATGAACCATTCGTGTATTCGTCGCCGGTTCAGCGAGAGCTTTAAGGCACTCTCCGCAGTAGCGGAACTCTATCCAAGCTTTTGCGACAAGACAATTGCATCTTCCGTCTTTCTTCTCCGCGATCCTTTTCATACTTTCTTCCTTGCTCCTCGTCCGTTTCTTCGCCGATCCTTCGTTCCGCTGTTTTCCTCGGTTTCTACTTGAAAAGAAAAACTCCTGATCCTCTTTCAATATACGAATACGATATTAACGGCGTCGCCGCTATATTTTTTCTCCTTCATTGCTAGTTTATTCAAAGACGTTTCGCCAATACGATAAAGGAGATAATTTTAATCGACGAATAGGATTATTATTTCTTACTAACAAACGAACGAACGAATGAAAATCAACGAGTTCGGTACCCTGATTTGATTTCTTTGCATTTAAATCGCTCGCGTACCCTGCATTTAACGTTCTACCTGTTCAACGAAGAAGGAGAAGCTTCTTGTTGAAAATAAAGGCTTTATTCGCCGATTACCTGGCACGAAGTAGTACCGAACTTTGTATTACGCTCCTGCAGCAAATATATGTCTATATCAAGATAGAATCGAATTCGTACAGTTACTTGTTTTCAGTTTTTTTTTCTTCAAAAATATCGTAGCAAATCGTTTCGTACCTAAGACCGGGAATAATTGCAGTTCTTTTTTCGCGATTTTGTACGAGGTTTTTACGAAACCTGAGGGTAACGAATCAATTACGTTCGTTGAGCAGGATGGATGGTTCACGCGCTGATCGACAGTCGTGGCAAGAATCAATGTACGCTACATGTCGGCCGAATTATTGAAACCTATTATCACATTTTTCGCGTGAAATGATCGACTTCGAAAGATAGAAACGTGAGAGCACCTTGCACGTAAATTGCGCGTTAAATAATGAAGAACGATCGACGTGAGTTACCACCTGACCACGAAGAAAGTGAAAAGAGAAGAAGAGAAATGGAGAAGAAAGAAAACGAAACGAAACGTGACAAGTGGACTAGATGGATGTAAGAATCTGAAGAAGCGCGAGAGAGGGTAGAAAGCAGCTCGTGGCGGTTGGTCACGAGTGTAAGAAATATGAAATCTGGAAATGTCACTACGGACAAGGGTCACGTATCAGTCGGTGGAAGCTTTTCTCGTCAAATATGTTCTTTACGATCCTGCTGAAAATTCATGACACATCCGCTCGATAGATGTACAGTCACTCGAACATTTGTTCGCACCGGTCTATGCGCTATTTTCTTTCATGGTGATCATCGATGACTGGTCTCCTAGCATAAGCGTATAATTCGATAACCGAAACAAAATTCGACGCTTAAATTGGAAAATAAATAACTGCAATTATTTTTTTCCCTTTATTCGCATATACATATGTATTTCATACGCGATACTTACCGGAAAAAATATTTCTACAGGCTTCTTAGAATTTTCACGCGCGTTAACAAATATGTATATATGTACGAATCACTGTGTATACAAAATGTTGAGAAAGTCGACACCGTAGCGATTGCATCGGCTATCGAAAAAATGCAACGTGATCTAATCTTACGAAATAAATGTTTGCAGGAAATAATTCGGAAAAGCGATTGCAGATGTTTGCGTCTACGTTTCGTTCGCCGATACTTAGTATTCTATTTCCATTATTTCACTTTGTGTATGATTAATTCTTATCTGTGTTTACGCGGAAAAACTGATCGTCCGATAATTATTTAAACAGCATTTAAACGATCTGCGGTATACAAGTTGTCCATTTAGTAATATTTTACAAATTACGATTATGAAACTCGCTGTCACCGTTCGAATGCTGTATTTCGTTTAGCTGAACGGTGATGAAACCTTGACAAGCGTACAAAGAAGATTCTTCCGAAATTTGTTTCAACGGAAAATAACGTTTCAAAAATATGATGCGATTGTAGCGTAATCTTAATCCTAAAATAATAACCATAGATACGAAGCGGCAATGAAAAGCTTCCTCTCCGTGTCACAAAAACGACAAAGTTTACAAAAATACCAGACTATCTTCTATCGTTTGCCTTTTGCGCGCCAGCAAGCAGGCAACTAGCTTATTATTTAATTTATTGTACATACCGAGACCAAGCTGACACATTTGTGTTTTTACCTGGAACCTATTACCGCTTTTAAACGTAAGCAAAAGTTACATTTATTTTACCCTACAGGACTCTTTGACCGGCATAAAAATATATTAACCCTTTGCGTACGATTATCGGCAAATAGCCGGCGGAAAACATGCGTGCTTCGAAATGTTTCGTCCGCAAACGGTTAAATTAGGTTTCGCGTATATCGAAGGATGCCCGCGATCGCGAATGAAATTAAAAAAAAGATATTTATTGTCGCTTTCTATTTTTGTCGCAAGGTTTTCAAACAAAATATATTCACTGCTGGAAATTTCAAGTACAATTAGAATTAGAATATAATGAGAAATAATTATGGAGAACTTATCCAAATTATATGGGAAACGAAGATAAAGAAAAATTGGCGTAAACGCACAAATTAGTGACTCGATAAGCGCGGTTATTAGAAATAATTGGAAGGTGCAAAAGTTTAGCAAATTACGTTTCGCGATCTTCGTAATTGTACTTATACTTGGTAATGTGATCGTTTAAGTCCATTACAGTATAATGAGAGTCTATTATATGTACGAAGTATTTCTTTTTCACGTTCAAATGTCGATTGTTAATAACGTTTATAAAGGTGGTATTACAAAACTCGGTATGCCAATAGGAATGTTGGTCAGTTACAGTTTTAGCGGGTCGTAGTCGGTTACTTAATAATTTTTCGTACACAGGTACGTATTCGTGAATCAATCTGCTGCAGACAACGTTGTCTGTACAATTGCGAAGACAAGGATGAGCACCGTAGAAATAAGAGATACGTTATAATGCAATAAACAAACTTTAGATACGATACTGTCCGTCTTCGTTGTAAAGTAAACACGCGATATCTGCTTACAACCCTATAAAACACTGGCAAACTGTTAAATTTTTTAGAAATCATCGTCCAGCTAACTGGACAAGAAGAGCAAGCCAGCCGATATAGGTCGACAAGAAAACAAGGAAAATATTTTGTGTCTATCAATAAAAGTAATATAACGAACGGACCAAGTTACAACGCGCATAGTAATCAGGTAGATAAACAGAAAAATGTTCGTAAATGATAACGCTACTTTCATATTAAACAGCGTCCAGGTGTAAGTTGTGTTCTTTCTTTCGTCGTACATCGACTAAAATTAGTTTCATCAGAGTCCGTCGAGCCACATGGATAAGTATATTAATTAAAAATGTGGGTAATGAAAGGAAAAAGACACGCGGTTTACTACCGAGAGCATAACGTTGCAACGGAGTTTTTTCTATTCAATTAAGTTTGTAGACGAGTGAAAAATAAGGTTTATTCGATCTTTGCAGGCATATTATTAATATAAAGAATTAAATTGCTTTGCACGTTCGATTATTTAATGTACAATTAATCTGTTACCGATTTCTCCTTTGGAAATAATATAATATTTATTAAAATATATGATTTCAGATTATGGCGAACTTCACCGTCGAGAACAACATTCTTATTGGCAAAGAACTGGAATATCCTGAGACGTATCAAAATGCCGGGGACATACTTCTCGAAATTTTTCAAAAAAAACCGGACCAAATAGGACAGGTGCGAACATTCGCCGAATCTTTTGATCCGTCGTGTCGTATTTTCAAGCGATACACTTTGAACGGTGCACGTTTTTTAGATAGATGCTGTTACGGGGAAGACGGTTACGTACAAAGAAATGAGGGAGAAAGTGATCAAGTGTGCAATCTGGTTGGAACAACAAGGAATCAAACAAGGAGACGTGGTGGCGATTTGCACCTCTTGCTGTTTCGACAACTATATTCCCTTCCTGGCATCTATATGTATCGGTGCTATTTGCGCGCTGGAATATCACGAATTACCTACACGTAATCTCGATTGTTTCGCTATTATTTATTTTGTATCCGTCCACGATTAGATGCAAAACAGGCTTTACCTTTGATGCTTTCAGAATTTCAGAATTTCTAAAAGAACGAAAGTCTAAGAAGTAAGGAAATTTCCTGCGGTTCTCTTTAAGGAAAGAAAGCCTATATCGTGTGTCTAATCGAGCGTGTCTAACGATTTCAGGTCCGAGACGATCTCGATTAATTTTTAAACTCTATCGCAGGTGTCTTCCGCCATTTCTTGAGCACGGTTTCCCCAAACATTATTTTCTTGCACGAATTCGCAACGAAGAATCTGATGGCTGCCGAAAACGAATTAAACACGAAAATACAGAGAATATTGTTCGAAGACGGGGTCCGTAACGAAGTATCCCTCGCTGATATTTTGTCGAAAATATCGTTGTCCGAGGTAGAGAAATTCCGTTGCGCAAAAATCGAAGACCCGAATCAGGTTGTCATGTACATCGGCACCTCTGGTTCAACCGGCGTTCCGAAACTGGCAAAATTCACTCACCTATCCCTCAAAGCGATGCTGAATCCAGCATATAGCGTTTCCATAAAGGATAAGATTTCTATGTGTATAGCGGGGTTACGATGGATGTATGCTATCCTATTCATAATGAGCGCGTTTCGCGGTAATTCGACAAGAATCATCGTAGAAGATTACAAGGATGCGAAATATTACGGTGAAATGATGAAGAAGCATAAGGTGAATCGCCGAGAATGAACATCGATAGCAACGTTTACAAATATAACGCGTTATAGTGGCAAACTCGTTTCAGGTGGAATATTACGGAGCGGACACGAACCAGGTTAGACAAATCTACAAACTAGACTTGATAGACCTGTATCGTTCGACGAGCCTGAAGATCATCCGTTTTGGTGGCTCTTCGTTCGGTCGAGAGATGCACCAGAAAATAAATGAACTTTTACCGAACATAGAGTTTCTGCAATTGTACGGTAAGTCTCTCATTCTCTAGCAATTACCAATCGCGTAAAACGACTCGAATCCGCCATTTGGAAGAATTTTGTTTCAGGTTCGACCGATGTTGGGAATTGCATGGCCACGCAAATCGATAAAAACGGTAAACCTGGTGGTTGCGGTTACGTTCGAGCAGGTGTTAAAATCAAAATTGTGAACACGGAAACTGGAGAAATATTGGGTGCAAATAGACAGGGAGAGATTTGCGCGATGACTGACACGCAAATGAAAGGATATCTGAACAATCCTGAGATGACCAACAAGACTATCGATTCGGAAGGTTTGCATCTATTATATCGCGAAATGGACCGTTTACAAAACATTGTTTCGGTTTCGCTGAATCTTAAACGCTAACAAGAATCTATCGCGTTCACGCGTATGATCGTGTCTATTTTAGGATGGATCCACACAGGAGACATCGGTTACTACGACGACGACGGAGAACTGTTCATAGCTGGCAGAATGTCAGAATTTATCAACTACAATGACGCTTGCCTATCCGTAACGGAAATGGAAAGTGTTCTTGAGCGACATCCTGCGGTGTATAGAGCGGCGGTGGTAGCTATCCCGGCTGAAGTCGAGGGCGAAGTTCCGGTTGCCTTCGTGATCAAAGTGCCGAACAAGGAGGTAAACATTCCGGATGAATTCGTAGCAACGGAGCAAGCTTATTTCGATCTCGCGATCGAACAAATTTTTATCAAAAATTTTCATTTTAGGTGACTGTCAACGAACTGATGACACATTTTCAAAATAACATACCCGACTATTACTTTCTGAGCAATATAATGTTCGTGGATAAATTTCCGACCACCACTACCGGGAAAGTGTCTAAAAACGATTTAAAACAACTGTTGTACTAAACTGCTGAATAACATTTGTTTTTGCCTCTCGATTATGGATCCACAAAATGCACGCGTTGTTTTTTTTCCGCGAATAAGCGCTGGTGTAGAAATGTTTTTTAACGGAAAAAAATCTTGTCGGGGAAATGTTTCTATTTTCCATTCGCGCGTTTCGTATTCAACGATTTTCAAGCGGAGAATAAAGCAACGAAATACGGCGGAGCAAGGAAAATAGAAGAGAATCGGTAATACGAAGGTACAAAACGTAACAATACAACGTTTATGCGTTGTGATTCGATTTACCGACAAAGCAGTGGCAAACAGTAAAATCATTACACCCGTTTTCGCTGGCTGTTTGTCGTCGATCTGTCGAGAATATCTGTTTTATAGTTATGGATATGCCGAACATAGTAATCAGCTTGAAACGTATAACACGCAGCTATTTCCCGATTACTTCGATCCGTGAAATGTAATTTCGTAAACTGGTCATGCCGCGTTTCAAAATAAATTTACACCCTGCAAAATCTCCCTAATATTTCTACTGCTGCTTCTTCTTTATTCTCGATTCTATAAACGAGACACGCTCGACTTTGTCAAATTGCATAGATCGACATTGCGAACTTTTTAGCAGTCTAATAACAACGTTACCGAGATGAAAATAAAATTGATTATAAAAAAATTTGAATCCAGCAATGACTGCAATATTTGTGAAGAATTACGATTTCAATTAGCCGAATAGAATAGTCGGAAAAGAATAGTTCTCTCGTTAAAATCTCTCGTTTTTCCGCGACACTTTTGTCTCCTCTCTTTTGCGCATTGTTCATTTTCTTCGAAGCGTACTAGCAAACGGTCCGTATTGTTTAACGGTATTAATATCGCGGACATTTTCAAAGTATTATTCAGCTTTTCCGAAGGTATTCGCTTCTTTTCTTTCTCGACGTTGCGAAGCTTTAACGCGGCGACGATATCGTGGTAATTCTGTCGGATTAGCTCGCTCCTCCGTTTGTCTCGCGAACGAATCTTTGTTCGTGACGAAAATGGTATAGATAATAGTTCGGACCATCGACGCTGAGTCTAATATCAATATCGAGATTCGTGTCGGAATATTTGTTACGCGTACGATGTTATGCACGAGAACGTACGTGACCCAAAGAAAACCAAAGATATTGTCGAATCGGACAACGGATTTCTAACGAAGAGGGAAAAATACGCGGTCTTATTAATTTCAAGACGAGTACTCCACGACGAATCGATACTTGCTCGGTTTGAGTCGAACGTAGCAGGTAGACGACGACGGTGAATTCGCAAGTTTTTCACGTTTGTTCGAAGGGAAAAGTTACTCGTCGCTAATGCCGCGCGTTGCCATACATATTTATTTATTCGTACGCCAAGATGAAGATTTCTCATCGGTCGTTTCTGGTTCGCGTTTCAATAGTTCGCTTCTCATAGACCTCGTCCGCCCAGATCTACTTTCTGCTCTTCTTTCCTACCCCCTGTAGCCCCGTTTCTCCACTCGTTTTCAATGGGCTCGACACGACCGTGGAAATCCCTCGAGAAACTTTCGAGACGCTATCCTTCCTTATAAAGTTCCGTCTCTCGCTGGCGAACTCGTTTCGAACCTCGAACCAAAATCCAATCGATTTCCAAACGTTTCAGAGAAAACTTTGCTTTTTTTGCTTTTCTTCGAAATTATATGCTAATTTCGAAACGTACATTTCAAAAGGGAAAACAATTCGCCTACAGCTTCTCAATCGGATACGCTGCGGAAATAAAGAATTATTGATACGACGAGAACACTGATAAGTTCCGAGAAATCGGATCTCGGTGATAGGCGGTCTGTTTATCGACAAACAAAAGAAGGTTACGAAGCAGAAGAAACTAATGTATCGTGCACGAGGGTGAAACAGGTCGAACATGATATGTTCCGACTCGAAGTAATAAAACCAGTTACTCGCGGTTGCTTATCGTTACCGTGTTCGCGTAATTTTCTTTTTATCTTTGACACGCAGACCCATTCTAGTCGACGGTTTTTGGCATAGACACCACCGACTTTTCTCATACGGCAAGAATAAACATCTCGAAGTTTCCGAAACCGTGACAACGATTCAAACTGAAGTCCGTTTTATATTAGAAGAAGAGGAAAATCCGGAAGAAACAGGAAAACAACGAAATTTGTATTTATACTCGCGAAACGAAGCGCTTGTCGCGTATGTAACAAGGAATTCGTGCTATGAGCGAAGGAAAGTTCTGTTCACGAACGGGAAACGGCTCTTCATCCTCGAGACGAGCGAGTACATTGGGCGTTAACTATGCACGTACCTTCTCGTGTGCCATTATATCCTCAACCAATTGCTCGCGTTATCCGAGAAAACAACGTTACAGCCAATTTATTTGCAGTGATTTGGAACGACGCTAAGTAAATCCTGTTCCTTCGATCAAATGTTCCTTGATATTGTTATAACGCTTCAGGCTTCTCTCAATATCTCCGTTAACCACGCAATCTTGTCTTCATAGTTTATATCTTTGCATCTTGCCTCCGATTCAATCGCGTTTCTCGATCCGTTCAATCCTTTTGATGCATAGTTTAGTTAGATTGTACGAGGATGCACACGGGTACCTATGCCATAGTTAGCAACCTGTGTATTAGTTTGATTTTCAGCAGGCAACAAATGTACTTTATAGTTTCTTTCTAGGATGTTTCCAGTGTGTAGATCCGCTCGTTATCGTTCTACGCGATCAATGTTCTCGATCGGTCGATGAAACGAATATACCAGAAAAATTGGTAAGAACAGCTGTCGGATCGATAAGGAAAATTTCGATATAAATTTTGTCAATATTTAATAGTTCGATAGCGCAGCAATCGTGATTCATTTGAAATCGTACCGAGTTCGAGTGGGTCGCAGCTTGAATCGATCACGCGTATAAATACAATATGTATCTCTGGATTCATGAGCGAACGAGGAATATTACTATTTGGATACGGGCCATCGTTTTTTTTTTCTCTTTTCGAGCCAAAAAATGTTTGAAATATTTTGCAACGTTAATGGTAGAAGAGGGTCGAATCATAAATCATTCGCGAATAACGCGTGAATAGGAGAATAAAATCCGAATATATGTTATATTACGAGAAAAAAATTTTGTTTTATCGCGAATAACGTTTCGAGTTGAAAATTCCAACGATTTAGGAAAAAACTGAAGCGAAATCGGTATTACTAAAATGTTATGCGCCGCGAATGAAAGGTTTCGTAAAACTAATAAATCGTATCGATAATAAAAATAATAATACAGCGATCGATGCTCGCGACGAAGTGGCAAGGTAGAGAAGGAAATGGTTCTGTACGGCTGTTAACAGGTTCCATTGTAAACGCGTAATAAATAGCTGATAATCGGTCGTTCGGATTAAACGTCGCTGGAACATCTGAGACTATATGTATGAGAGCCCATAAGAAAATGAGCCGGCTCGGTCGACATTGCTCACGCGGCAACCAATCTCTATCAACGTCTGTACGCCGTATTATGCCAGCCTCCGTGTATGCATGCCACTTTCGTCGTAGAAATTACCTAATCCTTCATCGCGAGTTCGCTTCTACTCCACCGGCTTCCAATTTCCATCTTAGTCTCGTGGCATTCAACGATGCTTCCCGAACTGCATCGAATTACGTGCGATAAATCGATGCAATTAAAGGGAGCTTCTGCTTCTCTTTCTCTGATGTATCGAGTGTCAAGAAGATCTTTCAAATTTCGAATATAAATACGAGCCATTATCAACGGTATTTTTTCTCTGTAAAACCCGATGCCGGTAAACGTATACTTATATTAAATGTATACGGTTCTGTGCGAACCGTAAATATCTGAAAACTCACGGCGCGAACACATTTTCACGGCGTGAAAATAATTCTCTTTTTCAGCGATAGTCTTACGACGAGTATAGGCAAGCTTAAGTCCTAACTGCTTTCGACGGAGATGGCTTTAGGTCTAATGAGGTGTAAGAGCGTCGACAGGAATACGGAGGTCGAATGGGTCAACGAGGCGTAAGACGACGACCGTCACGCCGCGCCGTCCAGAAAATATGCGACAGCTACCGAGAAAACGATTTTCAGCTAGATTTCTCGATTTTCAAAGCACGCTCGCTTCGAATACGTCGTGTGTCGACCATATAATCATTTACTAATTTCAAATTATATGTATATCTTACGAGCAATTTATTCTCGTATTTATTTTTAATCCCAAATGAAACGAAGTGTTATGGTATATCTTGTTCGTTACGAACGATTTCGATCGTATTAAATGCAAACGGAATAATCGCTTAACGATTTTCAATTTGTCCGCGTAGCGTGTGAAAAAAAGGGAAAAGAAAAACGCGAGAAAGAAATTGCGGTTTATAGGGAGAAACGCGTACTAGATAAATCGTTGAATTTAAGAGAACTCGAGAGAATGCCGGTGAACGTACTCGGTGAACCATGGACGAGCGAAATTAGCGATCGAATCGAATTGTCTCTTCGAAATGGCACAGCCCTTATCCATTTTAACGTAGCAACTCGCTGCGACGCGGTTCACGCGGCCAGAGGCAATATGTACTCGACGCACCATCCATTATGCGGGCCCATTATTCAAATCTGTGACCACCGGACTACAAATATCATTACCATGCCCCTCCACTCTTTCGATTCACACCGATTCTCTTTCCACTTAACCTTTCGTGGACAACACGCGATTCGCGCGTTTGCTTTCCATCGGAAGGGAGACAGAAAATCGTACGTTTTTCTTTACCTCCTCCTTGCTTTTCGGTTCGGTGTTACTTCTTTCGCGTGATCCTACTAACGAATGTCAGCCTCCAGGTTAGCCTCCAGATATGAGCCTATACAGAGTTTTTTCGAAGAATTCGTCTACTTTTCGACACTCTCTAGCGAATGTCGCAAAGCATTGTTTCGGTATCGTCTTTCGAAACGTAGTTCACGACAGTGCTACTATTGGTACGTTTAAATATGGTTTAAAGGCTATTTCAATGAATCGCGTAGTGGTTACGAGTGCGTGATCACGACGTGCTAACCAAAGTGACCTAAAACGCCAACCGCGGTCTCTAATTACAGCTGGTAGGAATTACCGAGAGCGGTGCTTGGAATTCAGCCGCTAATGCCGGGAAAACACGAAACGCCACTTTTCTCACGAAAAATTGAAGAAAGTACTTCCGTAACGGCCCTGTTGTATAAACGTAACTCGTTAAACATCGAGTAAAAACCTGGCCTCCGACCACCAGGTACACCTCTGTATACGCGTTTCGACGCTAGGTTCGCCTCTGGTGATT